ATATTGAAAGTGCAGTATTAATGTCCTCTTCATCTATTCCAATTTCCCATTCATAACGATCCAAAAATGATCCGTAAACTCTTTTTAAACCCGCTGCACACTAAAGATTGAGCGGTTTGCCTAAAAAAACTCAAAAATTCTAATTTTCTTACTTCACTAAATAGACCGTAATAATCTGGTCTGTCTTCATATTTCAACGTTTTCAAGTAATCATAAATTTTAAAAAATTCTTCGGGACATGACTAAAAAGATTAAAGGATGAATATCTGTGGAAACATTGGAAGTAATCACTGTCTCACGCGAAATAACTGTTTCGGTGTGCATTTTAACTTCCGCGCTAAAATTTCCTTTTCATCGCCAAGACGATTCCACGGTAATCCAGTATGAAGCTCGACGAGCATATAAAGCCATGACCAAAGATCGTCAACGCGTCCCTGATATAGACAGAGGTATGACAGAGTCGTAGCTATAGCAACAATAATAGCTAGAACCTGTTCTTTTCTATAGTGAGTATTCAAGCTACAGTATCTTGGAGTACCTCGAAATAGTTGCTCGCCTTCTCGAGGTTTGCGTATAGCTAGTTGCCCGGTAGCCATGTCCTTGGCTACGAATGACCGAGCCATACCTAAATTTAGCACTTAAATCATACCAACTAAGACCAACTTCTAAAGTACCAAAATCGATCAAGTATATCATTCTAGTGTCTCGTCCATATTTGCCAATCATACAATTTCCTGGTTTGATGTCACGATGGACATAACCAATTTCGTGTACCTGCAAGTGCTTCGATACACATGGAAAAGAGCGCAGCGTCAACCATGAACAGATCGGGAACAAAATACCACTATGAGTAGACCCTTTAAAGCCTTCAAAATGACAGAGCGCATGCGTTTTCTCACAAACGACTCAGCCATTCACCAATTAGAATCTTTGCTGCTTTTGCTAACAAAAGCCAGGAAGAGAAGTATAATATGCTCCTCTCCCCTTGCACCAATCCCAGATTGTGCACAAGTCAGACATAGTCAATCGCAGCGCCACCCAAATCCATATGGCTCATCGGCCCATCATTCAAGGGAGGAATTGTGTACTTTCACCACT